TCTAGTTAATTTCCTTCTCAAAATATGTATTTTTTTCAATAGTACACAAAATAGTTCTACATTATAATTGCCTTCAGGGACACTTTACAAGAAACACATTAACACACACACACATACACATGCTATGTTTGTTTGTGACCACAGGCATGAAAGAATATACTCTCTAAGGTTGTTGTCGATGGACGGTTGGGGACAGGGAATGGGTATAAATCATAAGAATTTCAGAGAATATATAACATTCATGTTAGCAAATTATGTCAGAAAAGGAATAAAATGGATACTACTCAAATAAACCGCCAAATTTTCTTCCAAAAACGAATGAAAGCTCCCCATTTGTTCAGATGCGGCTTTTGAACATAATTATTCTCATGCCTTGCTTGTCAGAACACAACATCTACCTGTTTTAATAAGGCCAACACAGGACATCTGCTTGACCTCACATTTACTGGTCTTGTCTTAGATATATTTTTATTATGATAAAATAGCACTCATGTCAAAATGCCTAAGTATCACAGTAATAAATATAAAATAAATACTTATATCTAGACTGAACCTTGGCATATATAAGGTATTATCTCATGATTTATATGAGTTTTTTAAAAAGTTGGCTGATAGCCAGTCATAGGAATGCATAAGATATTTATCACAGAGCATATAAGAAAGAGAAAAAGGAAGCAAGAAAGAAAAATAAAGGGAGTGAGATATAATAAGAATAAGATAATTCAGAGAAGTAACTGAGTTTTATTTTCTTAAAGTCAACAGTTTTCTTCCCATCTTGTTTCTTAATACTTAACACACTGTATTACTGTTTGTTTGAATAATTAACTCCCCGCTCTCCATCCTTATAAGCTCCATGAGGACACTGAATGTTGTTTTGTTAGTGCTTTAAACTGTCTGCCCAAACATTCAATAATTTGTTTAATGCATCCATACATCGATTAATAATTCATTAAAGTAAGTGCTAAACAAAGTATGAATTTTCTTAAAATTTCTATTCTTGTGGATTTAATGGAATTAATATGAAAAACATAGACATTAATAAAGGTATTAATATTCTAGTTAAATAGAAACTTTTAGGCATGAATCGGTGCTATTCTATTAATATTATAACAGATAAATAAAGAATAGTATTGTCATAGGGATGGGGCATGGCAGAGATCTATGTCAAATTACTTCCTAACAAAAATCCCCGGAGAGATTTTGAAAAATTTCTGTATATCCTTCAAACAGCGAAGTGACTAGAGATTTGCCCTTTTATTTTTTAGGCAGTGTTAGAATACTTCTGAAAAATCATCAATATGTCTAAACAACTGTTATGTATTCTGTTTTAATCAATCACAGTTTTATTTTACCAGAAGAAAATAATCCTGTGGTAATATTTAAACCTGAAATGGGCTCAGGAGAAAACTGCCAATAACTTATTACTTTTTGTTTGCTATTTTGTATTTGAGGGAAGTTCTACCTTACAAACTCTTTTTTTCTCCAATGAGAAAAACAAGGTGTACTGGCAAAAGCAGCAGTCCTCTCTTGATGCTCGTATAAAGAAACTCTTGATTTTTTTAAAAGGTTCTTCCATGGTATTGGGGAAAAATGACATAAATGAATGTGCAATGACATCACTGCACAAAATATTAATACCATATATGAGCAATAGAAATTCTTTAATGCATTTCTGATTTTTAAAATGTCTCAGAAAACAAAAGAACATGTGTTGTAAGCCCGGATTTTGTTATAATTAAACTTCTCAAAACACTTTCATGAAAAATAGAATATTCAAACTCGTGAGCAGAAATAAATCATTTTGACTGGGTTTCCTCTTTAGCCTAGCACTTCCTTTCTGACTTCCCCATTATTTACTGTTTTTTTTTTTGTTGTTGTTTCCAGGGATGGTTCTGCTAAGCCTTTGAGCACTTACACCATACTATATGAGGCAAATAATCTTAGAACATATAATATCCTACAAATATCCCATATATGACATTAAAGTATAAGGCAATGGGTAAATTTATTTTGTATCAAAACAGTTACACTGTATAGTTATACTGAACATGAATATTTTATAAACACACTAAAATAGCAAGATATGAAAAACTCCTTCAAAGTTAATAAGTTAATCACTGCATCACCTGTGCCCCTAAAACTACAGCTTTGCTTCTAATTTTTTTGAAGATTATTAGCAATTCAAACATATTACTACAAATTTTATACCAGGAAGCCCATCATATTTAATGATACAGGTTCCCATTTCATTTGTTTCTCTAAATTCCTCAAAAAAGAACCATAAAAAGGAAATAAAAGTAGAAGACATACTTAAATATGTTATTTGTACTTCTACATCTTCATGTGTGCCTTTATTTACTGCTATAAGTATCTCAAGAGTAAGGACCATCACTTGTTTGAATGGATTACACAGAGGTTCTTCCATGGAAATGGGGGAAAATGACAAAGTTTCTGTGATGATTTCTTACTAGTGGGCATTCTAAGTGATTAAATCAAATATGTAGCAATATATTATACAGAAACATGTTAGCTTTGGGCATCTAAGTTATGAATCTGGCTCAATGTGAAATAAATATCTTTGTCACCTCATGGAGGCAGGTGAACACTAGCCATTCACTTCTTGAGGGTTCTATTGTGAATACTTCAGAATAGGACATGGGTTTGGTATTTTCTTTAATAAGCTTCCTCTCTGTCCCCTTAGACAACAGAGGGCAGGTAAAATATTTTCAAAATCTGGAGAATACCCAATGTGCATATGCCAACTTGATTAAACATATGGAATACATACTTGGAGAAAAGCCAACTGGCGACCTGCTTGAGTCATCTAAACACCCAAGCTGAGAGAGGTTAACATATAAAGATCAGCTTTGGACTTTGAAGTTTTCTGGTCTTCATTTTACCTAATTAAGACAAGATTTAATAATCAAACCACTGTACAAACATGTACCTAAACGTATAGGTTTGTTTCTAATTTTGGGAAGAATTCTTAACAGATTCAAAGGAATCAGCTCCACATGGGAAAAGGTCTCTGATAAGATTTGCTTTTCTCATTGCTAAGATGCAAATGCCTGCTTTTCATCTGAGTTTTATCCAGTGTGACTGAGGTTAGCATCTGCCTGTCAAAATCTCGAGTTTGATACTGAAAAGGAAAGATTCTGATATTAGCATACCATCTGAATCTGAAACAATGGCAATTAGTTAATTAAAAAAAACTGTATTCCAAAATATTCTTAATGGTATTCATAGAAACCATTTGTAGATCACAATTTCAAAGAGAGCAATTTACCTACTTTACCCATAGTAGAATATATACATCCATGTGTTTCTAAAAAATAGAATCAAGTGTAGCAGAAAAGTCTATTTACTATCTAATACTAGTTTTATAAACAAACCTAATTCTAGATCAAAATACTATTAAGGCAAAAAATAAGATCTCTAATCTTCCCTCCCACATACATTTCTTGCACTAAACACTGGACAATTTTTCAAGTATACTTAATAATTTTAAGTTGTGCTGAAAGACCACAAAAAAACAAACCTAACTCTAACATAATATGGAAAACTTATGCAGAGTCATATACAAGTCAATAAGTATTTCACCATTAGTCAGAGTAGGAAATTTGCTCTCTCCTGATGACACTGATTTGATATAAAATAATTTGATATGAAATAATTTGATAAATTTAGCAAAGTGCTACAGCAATAAAATAGGCATTATCTAATGACACAGGAAGAGTCTGCAATGTATAGTATAAGGTTAGAGAGAGAGTTGCTGCTGCCAGTCACCACCCTATCTCCAGCACCTCAATCCCACATATACTTTTTGTTTTGCTTTTTGCTACTTTGAGAGTAGCAAAGGACTAGGCTGGAAGAACTTCTGTTCAGAAGCGTGGTGTTCAACCCATGCTTCCTTCATGTCTCTGCCCTTGTTATGATGGAGGCTAAAAGCAGAGAAAAAACCCAGCAGCACTTGTAATAAAACCAGCACATGGTAAATAACCTTTTCCCCACTGCCATTAGAAAGATATTAGGCATCTGCCCATGAGAGTTTACTTTGTTTTGTTTGTTTTCTACATCATAGTACAACAAAGTTATTACTAAGCCAGGTTTTAGCTATCCATTTATCAGTAAACAAAGTATGAGTTTGCAATATAATGCCTCTCATGCCTCTGGAACATACTTGTAGATGATATAGCACAAAGGCAAGGGAATAGAATCTTAATACTCAGGACCTTAATATTTTCAGAAATGAGAACATGGTGCATTTTTTAGCCTACCACAGCACCACAGCAAACAGTAGTGGAGAAACTGTCCAGACCAGGTTCTTTAATATCACTTTGCTTACAAATTCATAGAAAATGCTTTACTGGCCTGTCTGATATTGCACTGCAATCACTGTTTCTTTATAGTTGCCTCAGCAGGAGAGCTCCTAAGGATGCGGTATCTGTCCATTTTAGCAACATTGGGGCTTCCAGGAAGAAATGATCACAAGTTTCTGAGAAACTACTCCAAAGGCTTATTGGAATGAAGTGGGGCATATGCAAAAATAAATGTAACATAGATGCATACAAGTTGCTGAGAAGTGCCTTACTGGCTAACCTTGGCCTATCTGCCATCACCTGTAAAAACTTTGACATGTCAACACACCACATTCAAGTCTGCCTCAAACATTTTCTGCAACAATAAAAAATGAGGCTCCATATATATATATAAAATACATATATATGCCCATATGGGCTTGTATACCATAAGAGATACCTGATCTTAAAGATCTTACTAATCTATCATATTAATTTTGCTACAAATGTCTCATGAACATAATGGTGGTTAAAACACTGATACTGTGATGGTGTCCTTGAACCCAGAAAGCAGGCTTAGGATGATCACATCCTTTTTGCTGTGATTCCCATCAGCATTCCTCTTATATATCCATATCACTAAAGAGATCCCCAGTATCCAAACCGGTGGCAAGTACATTTTGACTTGGCTTGGAGGCTTACTTTGTTCATGTGGATCTGTTGCTGGTATTGCTTCTGCTTCTCCAAGAATTGCTGGTGTTGCTGTTGAATGACAAGCTGAGCCAATGTACTCTGAGGCAAAGGTGCAGACTGGGTTCGGTTCAGAGGTCTGTGACGGGGCAATTTGTGTGTACCTCTAATGCCAGGTGAAATTCTCTCTTTAGTTGCCAAGGGAGACTGAGGATGTAAGGGAACTCCACCTGAAAAAAACCATATATATATATATGCATATGTGTGTGTATACACACACAACACACATACAATTCTAAGAAAAGTAAGAAGCCAAAGAATATAGATACATAGTATAAACCATAAGAAAATTCGTGAATTAGTGATGCTACCAGGCAAACAGAAGAATAGGACAAGTGTGGGAAGACAGAAATGTCAAGGCACTGGACAAGTGCACATCTGACTGTATAACTCACCATAATCTAGTCTGCTATGAATAATGGTTAAATAAGGTGAGTTCTCCTACCACAACTACATCTAAAGGAATAAATAAAGATGATTGCCTTTCCCACAGTACCAGGTATCATGGAGACTTTTGTATAAGACTGTAGATCCCTATCAGGGTCTTAAGTAAAAGAGACATTATACTGGATCACCAACAAAATAAAACCCTAAAATGACCTGCAAACGGTGCCATAATGAATTACCAGCCACAAGAAGCTTTTGCTGTCGCATTTGTTCTTTCAATAATAAATGCTGCAGGAGAGCCTGGTGGCTGCTGTTGGGTGGCTTTCCCTCTAAAGTGACGTGAGGGTGGCTGGAAGATGCTGAGATGCTGCCCCCATACTGCCCAGGCAGAGCAACACCTTGCCTAAGCGTCTGTGTGTCACACTTCTGCTTTTCTTTGAGTGAATTCGAAGCCTGTGTTGAGAAATAACAAAGATGTTAAATACTCTTTCATCCATGTGGGTCACTGGGTCTCTAAATCTTAGACAAGGTTCCTATGCTATAGCTTCCCAGAACAAAAACCATCTTACCCAATGGCTGAGCAGGGAAAATGGACCTTTTAAACTAATTCAATTCAAAAAAGAAGGAATAAAAATAGGGTTGGAGCACCAAAGACAATTTAATATTGTCATTGTATTGAATATAAAAAGTTTCTTTTAATTAAAATCAAAAGTGAAGCTATGCACAAAATTTTAGATGGAAAGAATAAATTCAACAGATACATTGTACATGATGATGACTACAAATAACAATATATTGTACATGTGAAAATTTCTCAGAAATAGATTGAGTGTTCTCACCATAAAAAATAAGTATTTAAGACAATGCATATGTTAATCAGCTTCATTAAGTCACTCCACAATATGTACATATATCAAATTACCATGTTGTAAACCACAAATATATATACATTTTATTATGGCAATTTTAAAAACTGCTTATTAAGGGGAAAGTACATTTCTAAAGTATTTTATTATACCTGTTTAAAGGCATACTAGAGAGGTAAAATTTATTCAAAGACTATATCATGGGGATTAAGGAGCTGGAGATAGGATGTACTATAATTTTGGAGTTGCAAGGGAAAGAAACAAATCACCCTTTCTCTACATGTCTTCTAATAATTTCACAGAGCTGTAAGTATCCAATGTTTACTTTTTTAAATTAAATTCTTAAAATAACTCAATGAAAGGAGGTAAAGATATGCAGAAATTTGATTTAAACATTTTATATTAATTCATAACAGATTGCCAAATCTCTAAATATTGAAAATGACACTCCAAATATTTTCTATAATAAACTACAAATGAAATAAGATATCAAATAAAAATGCTATTAAGAACTTGAAATGTATAATAACATAGTAATAAGGCAATAAGAATTATACCATCAATAGCAATAATGAATTATCCTATTCAAAGAATTTAATGAATGGTGGTCATTTTGCTATTATAAAAGCAGGACTCTAATACCTCAAAATTATGTCGCATGTTTCTTTTCAAAACTCATGTTTCATCTTTCAAAATTGCTGTGCACCAGGGAGGCATAGTAATTTTCAGCAATGGATAAATTGAAGGACAAAGAGGTAAGTGGTTTGTCTGAGTCACAGAGCAAGTCAATGCAATGTTTAATCTAGAAGTGATTCCTTGTCCTGGCCACTTTTCCTTAATATTTCCCAGTATTCAGTGGAGAAATGGAGTACTAGAGATCCTTTTGGCAAAGCAATGCTAAACTTGAAAAATTAATTGTGATGGCCTCATCCACACCAAAATGGAAGCAAGGAAAAATGAAACTTTAATCCAAACCACATTGGTTTATCCATCCAATGGTACCAAATCGTATTACCTTTGAAATATTAAATGGCCTGGCATTAGTACTTGGTCCTTTGGGAAAAAAATTTTCCCTGACCACATTAAAAGTGGTACATGTGTGAGTTATTGAGAGGAGTGGCTTAGAACATACAAAAATAAGTAAAAATAAAATGCCCATTCATGTGTCATAAGAAGTTTTTTAGTTGGTATTTACTTATCATTAGAAGAGATAGGAAATAGAAATGGAAGGAAAATAATTTTTAATTAGTGATAACTGTGAAATATTATCCATGAATGTTTATTTTTAGTTTCATTCCTAATTCCCTTTTTTTGTTTTTCATTTCATTTATAAATGTTTCATGTAGAATTTTAAGAGCATAGCTGAATTCAGTATTTTCAATGCTTTCTTGTACAATCCCCAGATAAAAGACAACATCCAAATTTTGTTTTATCCTTATTGGTATAAGAACACAGAAAATGGTATAAGTATACACAGAAAATTGGTATAAGTACCACAGAAAATGACATTATAGTCTATTGAAAATATCAGATATTATAAGATAACTCTTAGGTTGATTTTAAAATATGTATTGAAATTATGTATTGAACATACATGTGAATTTGACACATTTGACTCAGTGGACGACTTGAAGGTAAAGACTGGCAAAATTAGTGATGAGGGTTAGCATAAATTTCTCTTTAAACTTAATGTATCATATGACCCCTCTGTACATACAATTTAATTAACATTTCAGAGATGAATTATTCTGGATAAGGCCCACATATTTTTTACAACTAAAACTGATACTGTTTAGTGAATATGAATAATGTAATTATTGCTATCTTCTGCTAGTATGACAATAAAATTTCAAGTTTAGCACTGCTTTGGCAAAGAGATCTCTAGTATTCCATTTTCTCTGCTGAATACTAGGAAATTATAAGACAGAGTGGACAGGACAAGGAATCACTTCTAGGCCTCCATTTAACAATATGATACAGTGACTGCTTTCTTTCCAAAAGAGCCTATTTCAGTTGTCTACTTTTAAACTAATAGATTCACTTTGAATCTAATAGGAATAGTTTAATACTTTTCTTAAGACAGTTTTTCCAGATACATATTCTTCAGTACCAGAGAGTCAGTAACTTAGATTCCCAAAATAAAGTCATTCACAAAATAAATTCTCTAAACATATGCTGCTGTGCTTTCGAAGCTGTACCTCTCAGCACTACCCTGGCTTGTGTTCCGGGTCTGCTACTAACTGGCTCTGTGATCTTGTGCTTTGAAACTCTCCAAGTCTCAGCTTCTCCTTCTGTAAAAATGTGGGTTGTAGTCTCTGTTTCACAGGATGGCTGTGTGGAGTTATTAAAATAATATATCTAGAGAGTGCTTTTCTTTAAAGCTACCAACCATACAAATGTTATTATTTTTATAAATGATTATGTGAACCAGGATAATTATGGTTTGAAATTAAATGGAATGTCTTTGAACAACAGAGCAAATAGCAAACAATGAAGGAGATGCTGGCTCTGCCAGGTTTTTTTTAAAAGTTTAAATATATAGAAAAATGAAAGAGAGTTCCCTATGAAAAGATATTGCTTGGGTTGATTTAGGCTGATGCTGTGCAATGACTTACATTGAGCTGGGATGGCACTGCAGGAAGCCCCAAGGTAATGTTGGGCAAAGAAGGAGAGGTATAAAGACTTAGCAGGTTCATGGAATCTTCATGAATTAAAATGCGTTGCTGTGAAACCATTTGCTGTTAAAAAAAAAAGAAGAGGAGAATCTCAAAATATCACAGTATCACAAATTTTACTGTAAAATGTTCACATTTCAGAAAATGGGTCTTATCATAATTAAGAAATGATTTTAAGTATTTTTTGACTTTTGTATCCAAAAGTTATAATGTAAAATTTAAATAGAAGATTTCTTCCTCAAGCATAGTTATAAATCTGAATAAAGGGCATCTATGTACATTTTTTGCCAATTCATTTATAAAATTCCGGCTATATGAAATATGGTCAGCATATTTGTCATCTGTTGATAAAGTACAATGATAAAATTGGATAATTCTGATTAGTGTGTCTACTTCTTTTGTATTACTCAGTGGAAAAAAAATGGATATAATGCCACCATAGTCATTATCTTCATCTGATTCTTCATTTAATGTCATTTTATTGATGGGGAAACTGACACAAGAAAAATCTTAGATTAAATATCACCATATAGGGCTTCCATAGTAATCACATCTTTTTTCTATAAACATTTATGAACAGACAATTGTGTGTGGTATATTTTTAGATCATTCATATTCAGAAACTAATGTAAAAGTTAAAATGTCATGAGTCTTATGCCACAATAGCCTTCATTTACACTTAAATATTCTGAACATTTTGGCATCACTGTGCTTTTTACAACAAATACCTTCTTTTAATCCATTACTGAGGGTCATGTTTTCCCACATGTGGCCTAATATGGTTGGTTGAATTACATTTTCTGTTTAACTCTTGCTTCCCTCCCAGAACTTTTATACAATAAGAGTTACAAAGGTCTTATTAGACTAAGGAACTCTGGCCTAATATGGTCCCCAAGGGAACAACATCCCTGAAAAAGAATACTCCATGTAACAGTATGACACAGTGACTGCTTTCTTCCCAAACAAAAAGCATATGGGACTCCAATAATAGACCACCTCCAAGAGGGATATTGCACACACGGGCTTTGACTAAAGTAAATATAATAACTTGTCAAGCATGTTTGGAGGAGCTGTAGATTTTCTCCTGGACAAACCTGGGATATCAATTAACTGGGGAAAATATCATGTGCTAATACAATGCAACCTCAGAATGTCACTGAAGAGTGATGCATCACCAAAACACAGGATGTTATTCTAAAACATCATCTCAATCATAAGTTTGTTTGGAGATGAGTCCTAGTCTTAACATAATAAGAGCAGAGGGTTAAATGTGGAGTTTTCTCATTGCAACTTGGAACTCAAAGCTAGTTCAGATTTTGTTACTTTTTAAAGGAACATGTCAGATATCTGTGCATGAAAATCAAGAGGTATGTTGAAAGCAGTAACATTACATTGACTTTATATGCAACCCTTTAAAAAATTAGTCGTCTAAGTGACATAGCATGAAGATTGTTGGGAAAGATTTAAAAATTACAATGTGTGGGGTTGCAATTTTATTTTGTGAGCTATCAGACAAAGTTGCATACTTGCTATAAACAAAAAGGCAAGCTACTCTTTTGCTCATACAAATAATAAGCTTTTCACGATAATTTTAAGTATAGAAAACATACCTGAACAAGAAAAAAAGGAACATATAAGGAAGTAAAAATATTTTAACTAGCTTACTGGCAGTAAATCGTAATTTGAAATAAAAGGATATTTTATTCACTTCTCTGTATTCATTAAAGAGAAAATAACTGTGGAAAAATAAGCTCTTTAAATAGTGTATAATATTCATTCAAGGTTGTATCTGCTCACAGCACTGAGATATGGACTAGGGGATTTGACATGGACTGGGGGAATGGCATAAAAAATACCGTGGACCTCACAAAAGAGTTTTCTTTGTTTCCCAGAGATAATTTCTGTGATATCCTCCCACCTCAAACTAAAATGAGAAATATCTATCTTCTCAGGCGTATGGGAAGCAGCAGCACACTGGCTGCTCACACTGGCTTTGACTAAAGCAAAGAGATTTGGGGACAGTCTTACTCTGAGACTGCAGATCCCTGCAGTTTCCTGTAAAAGTTGAGTGGCTCCATCTCCTCTGGCAGTGTACTGATATTCAGTACCTAACATGTGCCAAGCCCTGGGCCAGGAGTTGTTGGGAGGTTAACCTATTCTTCACAGGTACTCTCAAGCTACCATTATGCTCATGCTGTTAATGAGGAAACTGAGTCATTTCCCCAATTCTGCTTCTGTGTGGGACCAGCAACAAAACCTTATAAACTGACCAAGGCTATGAGATTTGTTGACAGCCGCTGCTACAGGGAGTACAACTCTGCAGCCACTGCAGGAGGACGGGGAACCACAGAAAAGTAGAGAGAATGGTGGCCGCTTTGGAGGAGAAGAAGAAGCAAACACAGGCTATGAGGCTCAAGGAAGAAATAAAGGAGTGCAACTGGGAGTCGCGGGACTTAGGCATGAGAAAAAAGCCCCAGTGACTTTATAAATTTTCGAGTCATGAAGACAATTCTTTTTTTTTTTTTTTTTTTTTTAATAGGAAATTTTATTTATCTATTAGACACTATGTAGCTGAAAAGTAACTCTATCATTGCCCAAATAAACTTCATGGAGACAATTCTTAATGAAGCAAGGAAGGTTCTCTGTCCCCTACATCTGCTGGGCATAGTTGGTTCTTCCCAAAGCCTCTAATCAGTATATCATCTCATAGAAATTTTAGGGACCCAGATCTTGCTTAGCTTATCTCCTTAGATTACAAATAAGGAAAGAGGCACAGCATCTTTATAGACTATCAAGGTCTAGAATGACTTCAGAGAATTGAAAAACTATGTCCCTCAAATTATTTTCTTTAAATACAGCTTTCCTCAACTATGCTTTTTGATAGGAGCCGTCTATCTGTTCCACATTTATCTCTTCTGGAGCCATAGTCTACACTGCTGAGTAGAGACACACTTGAAAGTCAGACTAACGGATTTTGAGGGGTACCATTCCCTTGAGACAATGAAAGATCCTGACTTCTCACAAGGCTGGAAGACCATCCCACCTTAGCATTGTGGTGAGCTCACAAGTGTTTTCAGACAAAGCCAAGATTTTTCCAATAAGCAGTTTTGAATCTGGCCCAGTCCTTAAATCATTGCTGTGCTAAGATGCCAATACTTCACAATTGAGAACATGAGAAAGATGATTTTCATCTGAAAATTTTTCAGAACCAAGAATTTTTATTGTGGTTAGATAAAATGAAAATAGTAAATGTAAGAATGTGTATTGTTTAACCTTCACAAAACAATTAATGAGTAACTTCTCTGTGTTAGATTAATGGTGTAGAGTGTATATAAAGATGTCCTATAACACACTAATTCACATGGTAGTTAGGTGCACAGAAAAGTAGAGAACTAACTCTTTGAATGTGATAATTACTTTAATTAGAGTAGGGTTAAAATACTTCAGTGGCTAAGAAAAGGGGGTCCATGTTAAACCAGGCTTTGATGAATAAATGGCATTTCACCAGAAGGAGCATTATGTTAGACAACAGATATGAAATGGGCCAGGTACTGGGGTAGGAGTGGCCCACTCACATTTTACTAAGACTCTTCTATATCTTATTTAATTTCTCTCCTGTTATATCAATGGGAAGGAGATCTCATAGATAATATTTGTAATTCAAATGAATACAAAACAGTAGACTGAAACATTATGTCTCTCAATAGAGTTGTTTATGTGAGAATTGAAATTAAGCACCAATTTCAATTAAAAGACTCAGAATCTGTTCCAAAAGAGACACTGGCTAAAATTAGAAAAATGGACAAAGTCAAATGTTACAGGGATTTAGAAAGGTAAAACCTCACACACACTGCATGTGGGACAGTAGACTGGTACAGCAATGCTGTTGAACTTTAAAGCAAAATAATTATACTGTTTACCATGACCAGTGATTGCTTTGCTGGGAATTCTAACTTCAAGAAATTCTTTCATTATGCTGTAGGATGATGGGACATGGTATATACTGAAGAACACCAGGACATCTACCTTGGGAATCAGTAAGCAGCAACACACACCATGGATTTTTATGGTGATTAAAAGCATACCATTAGATTTCTGTATCCATAAAGACATGGTATCTGGATCTAAAAACACATGCTTGGTGATAAATACAAGAAAATGGAATGACACAGATAACATTGGGCCATTTATATCCCATTAAAACTCATGAATGAAAAGCAAAAAATACATGTAACATAAAATGCATATAATCAAAAACACAGGAGAGAATGACTGCCTATGGGAGCAAGGAAAATGAAAGTGCAGAAAGGAGATAGAAAGAAAGGGAGGAAGGAGAGAAGGGAGGGACAGAGAGAGGGGAGGAAGGAATAAAAGAAGATGAACATTTTTCTTACTCTTAAGAAGACAAAAAAAAAAAAGTCAATGATAGCCTTTGACAGAATTCTAGTTATATCAGTTATATAATTATCTATTTTCTTTCTTTTTTTTTTTTAAATAGACAATATCTTGCTCTGTCATCCAGGTTGGATTGAAGTGGTGCGATCAAGGCCCATTATAACCTCAAACTCTTGGGCTCAAGCTTCCAACTAATGTCCCCACCCAATCCCTGTAGAGACAGTCTTTCTATGTTGCCTAGGCTGATTTTAAACTCCAGGCCTCAAGTTATTCTCCCACCTCAGCTTCCCAAAGTACTGGGATTATAGGTGCGAGCCCCCATGCCCAGCCAATAATCACTCACATTTTAAGATGCTCACAGAATATAGGGATATAGAATTTTCAGTTTACTGTATGTTCCAAATTATCTACAATATTCATGAGAATCAGAAAAAGAAAAAGATATATATGTATATATACACACACACACAATTTTGATGAGGAGAAGCCTGGACTTGTGAAATGAAGTCTGGTCTAAGTGTCTTATACTTGAGCTCTCCCACTCTTGGGCTTGTATCTCTGGCCAGCACCCACCTTCCCAGGACTTCAGAACCTTCAGCCTAAGACTGAAGTACCTCTGCCCAGCTCTATCAGGTAACATGTGTGTCTGCTAGAATGGGACACAGGAAGACATGCTTAGAAGTGTCAGTCAGCTTTGGCTTTACAGGGTCCCAAGTCCCTGAATCCAGGCTATCTAAAAAGAATATAGCCACATTAAAAAAAAAAAATCTTAATAATTTAATGTTTTACTACAGTTTTCAGGATTTTTCAAGATTGTATTTATTTTCTAGTCTTCTTTCAGCTAGCTCATAGAAAATTAAAATTTCCATGTAATTAAAAAAATTCTTGAGGCAGTAGAAATCTCTCAAGTTTTCATTTTACTGGACACCCAAGAAGGTGTTACTATAAAATAGTAAGACATATTGTGAGACCAAAAAACAAAAAAGGAAAAGAAAAAATCATTTGACAAAGTTTAACATTTATTTGAAAGGCACTGATGCTTTGTTAAAGATCTTGCTTTAAAATACTGACTCATGTTATTCCTAGTAAATGATTATTTTGTCATAGCAACCTCCTTTTCCTGTGGTGGGGGGTGGGGAACATGTTTTATTTGCTGCTATCTAAAACCACAGCTCTACACCCACTCAGAAGGGAGCATAACATTTACAGCAAATGTCACAACAACTATTATGAAACAACAGGCAGATGACTCATGTGAGATTGGGGCAAAACAAGTGACATTACAGATGATTTTAGAATATTAGAATCATTTTTTAAAAGCATTTGTATCTGCTGGAAAAATTATTTAAAAAATAGCATAGTGGAGACAGCCACTAATGTTCAACTAGAAATAAACCAGCAGCTTGGCTACTGTTAAAATAGCTATCAAATAAATCTACTGAATCTAAAGTAATAGTGTTGATATCCATGGAAACATATTTGAACCCACAGGCCCACAGTATTAACAATAAAGTAACTAGATAGGTAAAGACATCTTTGACTAGAGTTGGAAATAGAAACTCCTGAGGTTTCAGCTCCCCAACCAAGTTTACAAATGAGTAAAGCAAGGAGCTCCAGCAATCTGAGTTCTGGGACTGAGCATATGTAGGAAATAGAAGAAATGGAACAGAAGTGGTCAAAGCAGATGGAGACTCACTCTCACATGAGAGCTGCTGGCTTGAAGACAAACATGCTAATGAGTTTTCCCTACCAGAAGTCAGTGTTGATAATAATAACAAAAAATGAACTTTTTTCTGCACATCACAATTTACCACCTGCCTTCCAAACACTGATTTCTTAAAACAAAGCTGCTGGTGTAGGTATTACGATACTATCTTCTGCTAGATCAGGAATCTGAGGGTCAGGAGAAGTCTGGCAACTTGACCAATGATGACAAGGTAACCGGTTTTGGAGCCAGGTTCATGCCTAGTCTTCTGAATGGAACACCCATACATTCCACCACAATGTGCTATTTCCTGAACCTCAACTTACGAGTAAATTCTCCTCCTACTTTTGTCTTCCCTTTATCTAAATTAAGCAGGATATGTGAATTACAAGATGGAAAATTTTGTTTTCATCTAGGACTCAAGATCTTTAGATACAGCCTGACTTTCCTACTTCTGAAGTCACAATGGGATAAAATCCCATTCATTTACATGGGCTCTGAAAGCATTAGATAACATGCTTTTCTACTTACAAGCCATGAAATAAAGACTTAATTCAAATACACGCCATTTAAATATAAGAACTCACTAGCGTTGCTTAAGGAAAAATAGTAGAATAAGCTTATTTTGTAAATGATAAAGTATGCAACCATTTTTTACAGCACAATATGTTATGTAAATAACTCATACACCCAAAGTATTTGTTGCTATGAAATCCCATACTACTATTAATCTCTGGAGACATCTGTAAAAATCATCCTAAATTCTAAATGATGGTTACTCAAGTATAGCTGAGAATTTTTTTTTCTTCCTGTATCCAGTTTGGATAGAAACATTTAGTGCTACAAAGCTAGGATATTAATTTGCTGACAGTCTTAGTCTAAATTCCGCTGTCTCCTCACCTATCAAGAATGAATTACACTACAGATCTCTGTAAATGCAATACAGCAGAAAACCACATGTTAGCCATCAGGGTTGCATTTTTTGTTCTGGGCCACAGAGAGGCTACCCATCAGTGCATAAAGGTCTGCCCACCTGGCCTTTTGGATCATAGTTCAGGCACACAATTAATTCATTATGAGGTAAGTCACTACTTGCTTTTGAACTCATCTTTCCAGATCTGGAGGTGAATGTCCTGTCACTGACCTGAAGAAATACCTCTACCCTTTTAAACTCCATTAAATCACATTTCCTTCTGTTTTGTTTTGCTTTTCTTTTTTTTTTTAATGACAAGGTTGAAAGAAAAGGTTTGCAGTGAGAGAATATGTTCAACAATAGCTGAAAAGCTAAAGCACCTAAACAGATGATTTGTGGCAAGTTATGGCTTTAGATATATAAAACAGATTAAAACAACATACGCAAAATCTTTTAATTTACATTCTTCACCAATGCATACTCCTTGGTTGTTCCAATATGTTGTACTAAATACTATATGCAGATATATATGTATTCACAATGAAGGAATATACGTATCTTCTTCTTTAGTAACTATCAAACCATGTTTCCCCTTCCTTCCCTCCTAAAGGTAATCATCACGCTAAATTTTGTGTTCGTCACTCTCTTGCCTTTTAAAAATATTATTACTACATATTATCAAACAAAGTATTGTATTACTGTTTCTGAACCTAATAAAATGCTCCTATGTTGTAAGTGGTCTTTGGAAACATTGCAATGACAATGCATCTCTGATAATCATACATGCTGCTGAATGTAGCATTGTATATTGTTTTCATTTTTCAATGGCGCAAAATCCATCCAGGGACTGATTAGAACCCAGATCCTTTGGTGCTTTTGTAATTACTAAGAATCACATTCTTCATACTGAGAGATAACAACCTAAAGATTTTTGGAAAAAAAAAATTTAATCAAGTTGTTCTTTTCCTGAACATTTACTAAAGAGTTGCAGAGAATGGACCAATATTCAGGTATAACTACACTAACAAACAGATACTATCCACAACTAAAGTCCAATAATTCCACTTACATCTCTGGTCACAAATATAAACAAAGTATTTATTCCATCTGCTATCATGTTTTTTTGAAAGGATAATGGAAACAGAAAGAGGAATTGACAGGATACTAAGAAGTAAGAAATAGATGTGGGACCTGAAGACCATGTAGAGGCCAGAATTACTATTCTTTAAGTAGCTGAAAATGGTCATAAATGACAGCGTCTAGATATATGACTCATGTTCCTTGGAAATTTATTTGAGGAAAATTTTTGAAATCTAGAAAGATGGCATATTCCTCCAGGGTGGGGTTTCTTTGCTTTGCACACACTCACAGCATGGGGAGTACAAATGTGGCGCCACGTTAAATCAACAGCTTGAGGTTATGTGATTTGGGCTACAGATCTACATGAGGACTAGCTTGTAGTTACAACTTCTGAGAGAGAGGACCTGCCCTCTTCTCTGCTCCACATCAGACAGCCAGGGGCAGGGAGCTGGGGGGACAGAGCAGTCAGAGGAGCTGTCAACTCACCAATGAAGCATAGATATGGGCCTCTGGGATGTCAGCTTAGTGTCTGGAGGGTCTCCTATAAGATTATCCTCCTTGGTCAGTACTAGGCTTTATCTTCTATCTCTTGAGTTTCTGAGGTCCTGAAAACCAAAGCTCAAAACTCGAGTGTGCAAATGTGTTTACAGTAAAATTGATTTTACTGGCTTCAGTCCTTTGCTCATCAGAGATAACTACCGGATTTATGCCTTCACTTATATTTTGACCTAATAATTTCATAACTGACAATTTATTATATATATGCATGTTTGTGTTTGTGTGTATAAAATATATGAAATTACAGAGCAACAGATATACAGTCAAAATAACTATTTAAAATCAACTGAGTTGCCTCAAGAGACAGTGACGTGAGCTCCCTATAAGCAGAAGTGTTCTAATAGAAGCTGGATAATCACATGGCAGAAAAGCTATGGAGATGATCCAAGAATAAAAGATCTGACCAGTCCCTTTCTGTCTCAAGGTACCATGACTCTATAAAATATAAAGAAAGAAGCATGTTATGTATCAGAAGATAACATACCAGCTCACCTTGCATAGAACAATGCACAGTGAAGAAGGCATAATGACAGGAAAAAAAAATAAGGCTTTCAGTCAATCATTGATGACTTCAAATCAGCTGATTTCATGAGTGTCTATTTTCAGACTCTTGCCTTTGATAGCCTAATACAGAAACTACATCAGCAAATTCTTGCTGACTTTCATATTAACGTTCCTCTTAGTCTTGTATCATTGGTTATACTAAATCATGTTACTTTAAACTAATATCCTTTAATATGTGATTCTTCAAGCACAGAGTTCCTATCTGGTCATAGAGTTTATATCCCTATTGTGAGGCAAAATGACAGGAATATAGCAGGTGCTCAATAAAGGTTTGCTCAGTGAAGCTTTACACCCTTTAACTATAATACTGCAATTATTTTTCATTACTTTTCAGTTCAACTGGATAAAATCCACCTCACTAGGTTCTTCTGAGAGTCCTGCATGAGTTGTATTTACTTACTGATGTATCTACTCATATCGGCATAACCAGTAACCAAGCAGAATGCCTAGTAAGTTATGCGATTGTTAGGCAGTGTGCACTGAGGATCACTAAGAATGTTTGAGGATTATATTTCGATATTCTTCAAGCCTGGATTGCCTTCCAAACATCTTTTGTTGTCAGATTTATAAATAAGATCAAGTTTACTCAATTCTAACATGAGAAAAAAATCTGTAAGAAAAAAACTGATATTTATGTCAGCTAATATCTTTTCATATAGATTTATAATATTTACATTAGTTAGTAAATATCAATTTTTTTTCAACTGGTTTACAATATGTGGAATTAAGTAAACTTCAATTCATAAATATCATTTGTATATTAAAGGTAAACTCAGAAATATCACTTTGAATTAGGCAGCTAATCAGACATTCCATTTTTAAAAGAAACAATAAGGGTCTTACCTCAGCATGAGGGGTAGGGGGCAAAACTGAAGTCTCATTTTCAGTAACACTTCCAGTCGGCCCATTGTTTGGTGAACTGGGACCAGAGCCTGGAGAACTGCTACTGACTGAGGATTCTGAAAAATATTATGAAGTACAAATGTGTTCATGAGGAACATATACAGATGAACTTTAGTTACTGTAACATGTAACTGGGCATGTTATTTTCCCCCTACATAAATGCAAGCAGTATTTCATGAAATAGAAAGAAGTAAAAATGTATGAAATAGTTTTCAATTTTCATACCACTTATTCTCCCTTTGTTTTTTATGGCAAAACATACAACATAGTATTTCAACAGTTTCTAGAGAAGTAAAGATATCCAATTAGAGCAGGACATAGAAGCTTTGGGTGAGAAAAAATATAACTAAGGAAGGGAATTATTTTTTACTTGCTTTTGTGCTATTATTGAAAATAACAGTAATGAAGATAATGAACTTGCTCACATCACAAAACAGATTGTTAACACATGAGGTCCAGGCCCACTCCTGTTAGGTTTGAAAAAAATTGCTCAAATGCTGTGCTGTAAATTGTTTTTTATTTAATATATTAAGGCTATACCTTATTATAGTGTATATGAGTCAAAGTTATATGAAGAAAATACAATAAAATGTAGAATCTCAACATTGTACCAATGGCCTTGTACAACAGCATCAGACTTTGACTCTACCTATTTTTTCTAGAAGATGAGAAGTTGCCTAAATTTAACATGTAGACTTTCAAATACCAATATAACAAGAAATTTCCTTTAGCAAAAGTTAGGCAACAACAAGACAGATTCCTTATTTAAGTCATCCTTTCCTCTTCAGATATGAAATTCACATGTACCTCAACTTATACAGAAACTAATGCATTTATTGAAACATTTAATCAAAAATATAAATTTCCATTTCCTAGAAATATAATGAGAAGTCATCTTATCAAGCCTTGGCAAATTATTTATTCAACTCTAATTAATTCCTTATCACCTTTTATAGTTCACTCATTTCAAAATTTTCCTAGTTGCCTCATCATTACATCTTGTCAACCAAACTCTACACAAATGATCTTGCCTCATGCTTTTCAGAGACAGGACTTTTGATATTATTTCCACCAGCATCTTTTTGTTCTCCTCATGATTATGTCATCTGCATTCTCTTTTCCCACTTCAAATGTGGCATTTCTTTTCCTCTCTTCTCTCCATTGCTCACATATTTAATCTTACCCATGATCCCACCCCCTTAAACAAAATCCTGAAAGGATTTGTTCCATGAGTTAGGTGGAATCTTCAGGCCCTCCTCCTACACTAGAATTTCCCCTCTAGTCTGACAGCATGCTAGTAATTCTTGAGAAGTGGCATGCTCTCACCATGTCCACTCACTTCTTCAAGCCCTGACAACATAGCTTACCCACTGTAACTGCAACTGTTCTCTCATATGCCACCACACTTGAAGACCTTTGAGAAAACATTCATCTCCATATCTTTTTTACAGTGGCATTCTCTATGTCCATGTTTGTCTTTCCATCTCTTTGTTCTTCCTCCCACCAATTCCTAAATTCAGGCTTTCACCTAAGTTTGTGGCTTTTTCCCTTTTCTATTTCCCTTGTCAAAGTCACTCAATATCATGACTTCATATGTCAAGAATTATCTCCTAAGAGATATTTCTTGCCTTTAACTCATAAATTCCAGCCTAAACTCTTCTGAAATAGTAGACATTTCAATCTCTCCTACATATGTGTCAAACTCAATATATGAATTTAATATTAGCTGTTTCCTGCTTATCTCTATTTTATCATCACCCTAGTGTCATACTCCCTCTCTCTTTACTACATATCTAATTAGTTACTAGGTCCTTTTATTTATTTATTTATTTATTTATTTTTTGAGATGGAGTTTCGCTCCTTACCCAGGCTGGAGTGCAATGGCGTGATCTCGGCTCACCGCAACCTCCGCCTCCTGGGTTCAGGCAATTCTCCTGCCTCAGCCTCCTGAATAGCTGGGATTACAGGCACGTGCCACCATGCCCAGATAATTTTTTGTATTTTTAGTAGAAACGGGGTTTCACTTTGTTGACCTGAATGGTCTCCATCTCTTGACCTCGTGATCCCCCCGCCTCGGCCTCCCAAAGTGCTGGGATTACAGGCGTGAGCCACCGCGCCCGGCACTAGGTCCTTTTAATGTGATCTTTATACTATCTCTCATGTGAGTCTGACTACAATCATTTCAGTTTAAGGCATTGTTATACTGTCATGAACTATAGCAAATGTCTCCTTAATATTGCTGAATCACTACAGTAGTCTCTCAAACCTTTCTTTCAAACTCTTGCAAAAGGATCATACAGAGATAACTCACACCATGTCCGTCTGCTCCAAAGGAGCCTAATATTATTTTCCACCATTGCCCTTTTCATACTCTACACTCAGTCAAATTAAATCACCTATTCTCCTTTAATGCCAAATACTTTTCCATTTCATGCTATTTTTTATCCTCTTTCCTTCTATTTTATTGCAGGCCAAATCCCACCTATAAGGTCAAAGCCTGCCTTATATAACATATGTCCCTCAGAGAACGGGAACTCCCAGTGTCCAGGCAATATTTTCTTGCCCTCTCTCAGAACACCTATGACTTTCAACTTATATCATAATTATGTATCTGCTCAGAAATGCAGTGCCACTGGAAAGGACGTAAGAATTCTAATCTGCCACTTATTTACTCTTGGATTTAAGCAAATTATTAGTATCATAAAATACTTAAACACATTTTTCTCACTGCCTTTCTGTCTATATAACTTGTTGAACTTTTGATTAATCTGTTTCTTTTATCATCACCACTTAGTTTCCTTTAACAAAAAAAATGTAAATTTTAAACATTCTTATAGGAGCTTCTTTTTCCCAACTCCTAACTCTTGTCTTAGAATGACTGATTTCTTGTTAATGTCTCAATTCCACATCATTTCCATTTCCATATTTTTAAAAAACTACTCTCTTTAACATTCTGTCTTACCCATTTTAAATTATATTATTTATATTATTTTATGATATTCATACGGAAGTATTTCCTTATGTAGAAATTACTGTGATAAGCACTAGAATTCAAGGCAGCAACTATTTTACCAGAGGATTCTATGGCATCAAACTGGATGGGATCTGGAAGAAAGTAGCTACTGATTTTCTGAGATCTCGGAGGTCAGTGTAGTGATACTGGAACTGGAGCTTGAAGAAGGGTAGCTAATGAAATAAGGATGCTGGAGTGGGTAGAATGAAAGAGAAGGCATTGCAGACACAGGGAGAGTCAATTTCAACATTTGAAAAGAACGGAACTTTTTGTAGGGGGCAGAAAATACTTGAATTTGAAAAAAGATGGCAAGTGGGTTCTTATGTCAATAATGTGGAATGAGTTTGAAAGCAGCTTACACGTTATGAAATAGGGAAGAGAAAAAACATATAGAGGTAAGAGAATAACAGCAACAGCAACTAAACTGCTATGATGCTATGATAGTCTCTGACTAGATACTAAACATATTTAGTATTAAGATTTGAACAGATCTCATCCAAGTTAGATGAAGGTTGGCAGAGCAATGAGGAGCACAGGTGAAGACAGCTGCATGTCTGTAGTCCAGAGCATCCAAAGAAATTTAAATTAATTACAGCATACCAGTTATAAATATCTACCAAAGCATCCACAAGTCCCAGAGCTCACTGACCAGAAATGTTCATCTAATAAATGTACAAGTCCGTCTTCCAATATATATTGTTTCCTGAGAATGAAAGGGTGATTACTTATCTCACAAAATTAAGATCATGCCTCTGCACTCCAGCCTGGGCAACAGAACAAGACATCATCTCAAAAAAAAAAAAATTAAGAAGAGAAATATATTTTAAATTAAGGAAATTTGAGTAAAACTCTGGCAACTCACAATCCTTATAAATAAGAACCAATCATTACTGAGATAGGTATTGAGCTAAATGCCACTGCAATTTGGTATGTAAGAAAAAGTGACTGTGTAGAAAAAGTTATAATCAAGAAAACAGAATACAGTAAAACAGAAAAGCACATTGGGATAAATATGACTTTAGACATTAAGATTATGAAGCAAAATAATATAGCATTATATTCAATTTTTTCTTTTCTGGAAGTTTTTCTGTTAGAGGGGGCCTACTTTTTGCAGTAGAAAACCACCTATCTAAATTTACATTAGACACCTGATAGGTTTATAATTCTTTACATTCATTAAACAAATTCACTCCCCAACTGTGCACCCCCACCAAAGACCTCTATTAGGAAAACTTACGATTTTTACTTAATGTTGGAAATTACATATAAACTCTGGTAAAATAATTGTACTTATTATTCATTTCTTTAATATTTCTTATCCCAAGGAAATATTTCCCATTGAAATCACTAACACTTTCCTTCAGATAAGTATATAAAGGTGTCCAGATTAAATAAAAGACTAAATATTTTTTCCCAAAATTATCTGTCAAACTTTTAAGTTGCATTAGTAGCTAATACATGTTTCTGCCTCTACTTCCACATTCTTCCTCCATATTGCCTTCTTGTAGACACTGTCATGGCCAAAAGAAATATATAGAAAATAAAGAATTTTTTAAAACTTACTAAAAATAAGATCTGATCATGGAGAACTAATACCAAATGCCCACATTGATAAAAGCACAATTTTCCTTGAGAATGAAAAAAAAAAAGTGGTTGCAGATTACCACTTCTTTCTTCATGCAACCAAAGGAAACAACTAGACACAATGCATGGCTCTAAGTAGGCACTCAGAAAGTGGTAAGTAGGAGTATTTTGGCTAGTATTTTTGGTTCTTACAGTCTTAGGTCTTTCATTTCAAACCAGGTACAACTGGAAGTAGGGGTGTTGTAAGAACTCAGGTTGAATTTCCTAACCCCTCTACTAAAACAGGCAGCTAAAAAAATAACTTCCATTTGAGACCTGTGAAAATGACAGTTTCTTCCCCTTCATAAAAAGCAATATATCCCCCTCCTGCCATAAGTCCCACTTCACTAGTAAACACATAAAGTCATTTATGAGTTCTGTAAATTTGTTGAAAAGTCAAGGTTTTGCTGTTCCATGTAGTTTAATTTTCCCAGATGTATTTTGTACGTTCACGTCTGAGTACAGGGGAAAGTGTTCTTCTTGGACCTCCCTCTGCTCATTTCTGATCAAATTTCATTAAAAATTATACTCTCTGGGTTGGCATTCCCAAAATGGACTGCCTGTTTCTGAAAAAAATAAGGTGAGCTTTGGTGTTCCCTAGTTATGCCTTGATTGACACATAGTTCTGTTTTTTTCATTCATTTCCTGTTTAACACAGTTGGTGAATGCATAGCAAGGTTTATTGAACTACTTGTGAGTTTTCAATATAATTCCCTTTCAAGAAATATTTCTCCTCAAAATAACTTTTCATATGTAGCAGGTATATTTATTCTAAACTATTTTTTTCATTCCTACTCCCAGCATTCATATGTCTGCCCAATCCTCAATTACCTGTCACCTCAAACATTCGCTTCTTGAATGAAGTGACAACATTTCCATCCTTCCGCCTGAGTAAGGGGCTGCTTCTCCTCTCTGCCACTTTCTGTTTTAACCTGGACCGCACCTTCAAGTTGGGCTCAGAGGCTGGGGATTGAGACAAAAAAATAGATGAAAATTAAAAAAAATAGAGAGCCAATTGCTCCTGTGTTTAAAAAAAAAAAAGTCTCACCCATTTCTTGGTCTGTTCTCATCTCAAATGAAAAAACCAAACACATAAATGAGGCATTGACTCTACATTAATGAAACAGGCAAATATTGCAATTATTTTTATGAAATGTGTAAAAGTTTTTTCAACTTCTCTAAATATGAAAGTAAAAATTAAAAATGTAAGTTTTCTATGTATTTTATCTAGCAGAATTGGGATTGTTAATGGGAAGTTTAATTGCAAATTATGTTTGGGTCACAGTAAGATTTATTATAGTTTATTGTCAGGCCTCTTAATTCTCTCAAGGGTGAAACTTAATAACTACTGAAACAGTAACTTAATGTGATTTTAGAGACTCTGACCTGGCTTGTGGTAATAAGAAGACACCTCAGCAGCACATAATTTATGTCTAATTCTGACTCCTGGAATATTTGTCAGTAGTTTCTAACCTTAAACCTTGGGAAAACATACTCAGTGTAATGACACCAAACCAACTAGAATAAATGCAAATAAGACATTCTATACATTCAGTATACTATTAGCTAGAAGGAAAAGGTGGCTAAGTCTTCAAATTGAAGCTTCTGAGTTAGGTTAATATTCCATAATACAAATGCAGATTATTTACATGTATGTTACCATTTCTTTGGTATTCTAAACAGTGAAGCTTATTATAGAGCTTCAATATTTTTAAAATAATGCCACTTATTTTAAAATAATACTTTAGAAGAATGGAAACACTGGATTGCCTCTCTCTGCAGCAGAAGTGGACGATAATGATAGTGGTGGTGATGATCATGATGGAAAGGATATTTCTGGTAACAACTAACATTTATATAGTCTTTTCTATGTTCTAGTACTATTCTAAATGTTTATCAATATCAACTTGTTTAACCATAAAAACATCTAGAAAGCCTATGCTGATTTATAATTTGATTAGATCAATTAGCAAACCATAACACAGAGACAGGTTAAGTATCTTACCCAAGGTTACAGAGGTAAAAAGGGATGAAGCCATGCTTTATACCCGGGTAGTCTGTTCTAAATACTGAAATTTGTACCCATAGGTCTGTTCTAAATAATGAAAATACTGCTCCTCTACCTTTCCTTATGTATGATCACCATAAAAATTATAAGATAGTTTTTCCCAAAGCTCCACTAATCACCTAGAGTAGATACAATGTTATAATGTAGCTAGAATTTTATGAGTGAAAATATTTTTGAAGGAATTTACATTTTTGCCATACTATAAGGGATATCAAAAGTATAACATAAAATTTTTCTCCACTTTTTGTTTTGGTTTTAGTCTTCAAATATCTATACTTTTTGCTTTAAGCTTGTACTGAGAATCCTTGCATTATACAATTTCTTGGAATTGGCTTGGTGAAATAGGAACTTAAGAAGTGAAGTTCAGATACAAAAAATAAAGCTAGCTACAATTTTTTGTGTTGTACACCTGACTTCATGCCTGAATATACTGAAAACATAAGAAAAATCAGAAGCCTGAAAATGCTGTAAAAGTAGGGTGTCAAAAGGTGGGGCAGAGATCAGGGCTGAGCACAAGCTCAAAGTGATAGATGTCTGAAATGTATCACTTGCTGGGTCTCCCACATGGAGGCAAACAAACAAACCAGTTTTGGAAAGGATTAAGGTTCTTGCCAGACCTTCCAGTAGTGGCAACACATTTCACCTTAGTGTAGGAGTCTATCTCAGTTTCTAACCCACCACTTACCCAGGATTAAAGTGAGATACTGGGACTGTATTATCGCAGTTAGATATGTTTCCATGTACACATTTATTTTTAAATACCTTTAAAAATACTCATCTTGCCTCTGAAAAGTTACAGATAATAAATATACTTATCTATAACCTAGAAAATATTTAAAAATATTGATCTTGCCTCTGAAAAGTTATAGATTACAAATATATTTATCTAGAACCTAGGAAGGAAAAATGAAGAACCATGAATCCCCAGGTGCTAACTGCATTGGTATCCTCTGTAGCCTTACTAATAACCATAGGAAATCACAGATGCTCAGAACTTAGATGGAAATATGATTTTATAGTAAAAACTGATGGATTAAATGCTGCAAATGAGCTGTCCATAGGGAGCAAATCAACTGATCACTTCAAAAGGCAGTGGTGGGTGGACCAGAAAAGGCCATGCATTTTCAGTGATGGAATGTGAATTCAGTCTACATGGGACCACTTTCCGCTATGAAATATGCAGTGAGATTCTAGTGCTTTCTAAGCTTGATTCTTCATTTGTGAATCCTAGCTGAATGCTTTTCCAATTAGATACCTGAGAATAACTGTGAGGATCTCGGTGAATGTGAAAGGGAAGGATTTATGAAACATATTGTTGGTACTATTTCTGAAGGCTAGGTACACAGTTAAGAGGGGCTGATCCAGAATTGGGCCCCAAATCTCCTGATTCTTAGTCTTGTCCTCCTACCTCTCCTAATATATGGCATCAGCTGAGGCTGAGTGTCTGCAGTCAAGATGAAAATGTGCTGAAAGCTTGGAAAAATAGCATATGCCATTTAAATAATCTAGATGCAAGCTAAATTTTTCCAAGATTTTCAGAAAACAGATTTTTAAGGTCAGCAAATAGCTTTCACTCCTGTTTGTCTACTTGAGAATCAGCCAGATATAAAGCTCTCAGATTTCTTTCAATGGTCAACATAAAAAAGCAAACACCAGAAGAGCAATGAGAACTGGGTTCTAGTCTTGTATCTACCACCTACTAAAATCAGTAACCTTGAATAATTTGTAGTCATCAGTTCATTCACACAGACCAACTATGATGATACCTTCATTGTGCCTGGAGTCAAATAGATGCGTGTTTAAATGCCTGATCCACACATTAGCTATTTGGCTTTGGATTAATTACTTTATATCATTAAATTTCGATTTGTCATGTTAAAATGGATGTTGAAGGGATTTTTCTTCATTTTTTCCCAACAAACTCAATTTTCCTTCCTTCCCTGAGCCCATGGTGGCTGAATCCTGGAGCTGCATCACTTTAGTTCTTTGCTGGATGGATTTTATTTGGGCTCAATTTAGTGGCATGACAGGCTGGTGACCAAAGAATTAAGAAGCAGGGAGAGGCCAGGCTGTCCTACACTCTCTCTGCCACAATGCTGAATCACTGGTCACGGCTTTGTCTCTTCCTAAATTCAGCTCCTTCTGTAAGACCCTATTCCATGGCCCAAGCTCTTCAGCACTTCAGGAACAAATTGTTCCCTTCTTCTTTGTGGGAATGACCTCCCACTGTTGCTATTTTCTGGGTACCCCCACATCCCTAAGCAGTTCATTTAACTGTACTCACTTCCTTGTTAAGTAGTTCCTTCATAAAAGTCTATGATCCATGCTTCATCTGGTCCCTGCCAGGATCCTGATTAATATAGTCCTACGTATTTTGCAGTTACTAGAATATCAAATGAAATAATGTCTAGTAGAGAACAGACCAGTGGTTCACAACCAGAGGACATTTGGCAATATCTGGAGACATTTCTGGTTATCAGATGGGGAGCTGCTACAGGCATCTGCTACGGGTACAGGCCAGGGATACTGCCAAACATCCTACAAAGCACAGGATAGTGTCCCATGACAAAGTATTATCTGTACACAAATGTTAATAGTGCCAAGTATGAGAAACCCTGGGACAGGTAATCAGTCAATGGCAGCTGTTAATAATTGTAGTGCTCTGGGTTGATTAAAGAAGAAAATACCTGCCAGAAATTCCTAAAGAAGCTGGAGAAGGGTAAGGGAAGAAAAGAGAGTACTAGAAATGCTACATGTAGCTTGAATATACTAAATATTTCCATAAATTTTATACTTGGAAGTTGATTTTAAAATGTTTCTAATACCACTAATATTTCTAAAAATCGTATCACTTGGCAACTTTTATTATTAGTTTGTAGAGCTATGCATAAAGGCATAATTCTCAGTTTCAGAAAGGAAAACATTTGACGCATTGTGATTATTTGAGGACACAAGGTTTTGAAAATAAGGAATCTTTGACATACTGTAAAGCACAACATAGATTTACATTCACAGAATATACAGTATACTACTTCCCTAAAGAAAGGTCCCTATGTAATGTTTCTAGCAAAAGCTTCTGTATTTCTGGTTTTGGGTCATGAGAGATATTAATATCTCAGTAGTGAGGGTGAGAGATGAGATGATAGATAACAATCATTTAGTCCTGGTAATGCTCTACAAAACTCACTCCTAACATTTCAGAAGCCAACACACCAAACCTCGGCATGATATATACCCAAGTAGAAGAATTAATGGCCTAGTGTGCTCACTTGGTTTGCAGTTAGAGTTAATTCTATTTTTAATGCTCTGATCTCCCCAAAGGATGAAGATTTCCATGCCAGTGACTTACTAATGGAATGCAAATCCTCAGAGCCCAGAAAAAGATCACTAGCTGGGGAGAGGTTCTGCTTGTATATGAATGTATTTCATGCCTAGTTGCACTAATTGCATTTCCATTTTTACTCCACACCCATTATTGTCTACATCTCAATTAATCATAGAAATAGAAGGCAAGTTTTTTAGTGTGTATGCTTGTCTGAATACATTTTTCTGCTGAGATGAAAACTTTGTATAAAAGTTGATTATCATATTTAAGTGAAAACAATCAACAGTAAAATAAACAGAACAGACCTAACTCCTTTTTCTCTTCTCACCCAAAAGAAAAACTTCTCAATAAAAGTAATCAGAAAATATCTGAAGAATGCCTTATGAACTTAAGGTATTTCAAATCTTTATTCTCACACTGGTGTCCATGGTGCACAATAAATTTAGGGTGCCAGGTATGAGAATAAATCATGGAAGAGGAATAGTTAACCTAGGTGGCAGAAGTGAAGGTTAAAAAATTAGGATTCCAAAGTACCGTGAGTGGCCCTGCCCAGTTTGTCATTTTATTAAG